AAATCATTATAAGGAATCCATTGAAGATGATTACTATAATGATATGTAGTTGCTTTAAGTTGTGTACTTTTAATCAACTCATCTAATGTTTCATTGCCACTGGTCCATCCTTCAGTTAACAACTTTGGATCACATGATTGACACCATGCCCAACTGGTATTATATCTATTGCAGGTTGGACATTCCCCATACCATTCTTCTCTTTTATCAGAATATTCATCATTTTTGTCAGTAGGAGTATTGTCATGATGTTTGTTTTCATTCGAAATGTTTTCCATTGTGGTTTTTGTATATTTGTAAAAAAAAAAATTTTTTTTTAAAGAACTTTTTTTTTTTTCAGCCACAAATATGTATCACAAAAAATATATTATTATAAAATCAGTCACTGTGAAATGTCATCCAATATCCCCCGTGTAACATCATTTATTTCAGTTAGACTATTTTTTATTTATATATAAACTGCGAAACATTACAAGTAATTGTTTGAAGTAATGAGTATTTAATAGTAATAGTTATTTCTGAATATTAATAGTAATATTATGACATTTAATAAATTTAAATTTGCGTTCTTTAATTTCATTATAATTGTTTGATCTTTTAAATGGTAATGTAATATTGGAAATATCATTGAATGCATGACGCGAATCAATACTTTTATTTGAATCAAAAGCATCACTAGAAATACTAGAATCATCAACACTAGTATCACTGGAAATTGCATCTTGATCATTATTCATCAAGTCACATGTATTATCTGTTTCAGTAGCAACTGGATGGGTTTCACTTGTAACATTTATCGATTTTGAATCATTATCTGAAATATCTGGAAGAGTAAGTTTAGCTACAGTGATCCTTTGATTTTCATTTTGTAATCTATAACAATAAAGTCCAGTAATAGAACAATGTAAAGTTATGTTCAACTTAGGTTCCTATAATAAATATACAAATATATATTACTAAATTAAAAAAAAATCTCCCCATTGTTATTAGAATGTGTAATAGTTTTTTAATAATAGTAATGATAATAGTGGAGTAGTGTAATATTTTGTAAGGCGAGATGAAATATATAAATTTTAGAAAAGAATAAATTAATTTGCTATTAACCACTCAACAAATCTTCTTGTAAAAATGGCATAAATGGTGGGAGATAAGTCAGTTAAACCACTGGGATAATACAAGTTTAAGCTCAATTTTACTTCGTTATACCCGTACTACCCAGGGTTTAACTATTAATTAACATAAATTGACTATTTGGGAAATGATTTTGAAAATAGCAATGCAATCTTTAAAATAATCAAAATTTCATTGACAATAATTTGAATAATTTGGCTTGAAACTTTTGCGAATAATTTAAGTTCAAAAAGTATTTATCAAAAAACGATTTATTATGTGACGATCTGAAACAAGACCTTAAATTAAAATCAACGCTCCAGATAACATTAATTTATTTAATTGGGATGGTATGAAATGATACTATATAGAATGAAAATTATATTAATTTTAAATTTAGATTTCACTCTACGATTTTTTAAGTCAATTTAAATTTAAGTAAATTTTTTTTTTATCTAACCATCATCAAAATTGAAAATTTTTTTAAATTGTTATAATCATTAATAATATGTATGGAGAATTAAAACGAAATGCAAAACGTATAATAATAATAATAGCTAGAGATCCTATTACTATTCGTAATACAACTCAATTAATCCATTTTACTCGTTCTATTATTCGTTTTATTCGTATTATTCGTTTTTTCATTTATTATGTATTGTAAGGTCTGTTAAATTTAATTTTTATTAACATTTTTTTTTGTTTAAAAAGTGATGAATATGTTATTATTATTATTACATTTATTCCAACCATTAATATTCGTAAGAAAATCAAAAAAGCATCATCATAATGGCAATAATCAAAGATACAGTCAAGGTTGAACTGACAAAGAGAGTAATTCTTTCATTTGTTTCTCTTATCCAAAAAATTGGTGAGAAGCAACTCAAACGTCCCAATCAATTAATAATTATTATCAGTTAAATATTATGGATAGTAATTAATGATTAATCAATTAATAATTATTATCAGTTAAATATTATGGATAGTGATTAATGATTAATCAATTAATTACTTGAATCCACGAATTCGGTAGTTTATATGTTTATTTAGAATGTACTTTCTTTTTTACAAAATATATATCATTTTTGCTGTCAACAGTGATATATGTGATATCGTTATTATAAACAATCATTTAAACCCTTATTATTGTGATTGTTTATATTTACTTTGTATGATATATTGTCATTATTGGTGAGCTTTATTGTGGAAATTTTATAACACATTAATAAAGAGCTGACAATTAATTCTTAAATAGGAATAAAAATAAATTATTTATTAAGGCAATATTTATGGATATGGATATATATTTATATTGGGAATATGGTTAAGCTATCATTTTTTTTTTATTTTTAAATTTTTGCTATATATATTAATATATATATATTGTAATAGACTGTTAGTGACAGCACAATAGTCTTTTCTAAAAGAAAACTAATGTTAAATTACTTTATCTCTTTTTCACATACAATTTCATCCAATATTAATATATTTTGATTTTTCGATTTTATTGATTCTTTCACTCATTTCAGTCATTGATTTGTTCATTTCGGCCATTGATTTGTTCAATTTCCTGATTTCTTCATTTAGAGTTTCATACTCTTGACTTTCATCTACGATTTGATTTTCATACTTCTCTAGTCTTTTATCTATTGCTATGCGTAGGCCACATTGAGTCCATGTTGTTGAAGTAGCCAGAAAGTCACCGGGTGTTGGTTCCTTCTCTGTAAAGAAGGACACATTTCTTGTCAAAGAGAGAACCAGTATAAACACGCATGTTTTGACAAAATAAAAATCGATTGGCCATTTTAACACAATCAATAATGTTTGCAGGATATTCGGGAGATAAAACCACGTAGGAAGAAATAATATAGGGAAGATCTTCGAATCAAGTACTTTTTCTGATCTCTCTGAGCCACACATCATAAGACAATATAGTATAAAAGTCATGAGTGCTGTAACTAACAATATCCCAAATAATGTAAGGAAAGCCATACTAACTGGATCAAAAAGGTGTCTATTTGTAATAATAACAGTCCAGAATGTTGGAATGACTATAGCTGGAAAAAATATCAAGAATGAAAAGATAACATAAAAAACATCAGATGGATTTTTAAGAACTTTTTTGACTTTTTCATTCTTAATTATCGCGCCTACTGCGCAAATTACATGCAAACCCATGTTTACAATTGAAAATATTCAGCAAGTTATCATAGACAAAAGAAACTACCAGTGGAATTGCCCAAGTGACTGTGTTGTATAATATCTCATCCAGTAATGGTAACAGCACTCTTTTGATGGGCCCAGATTCCCCTTTCACATTGAACAAAATGACAAAGAAGACTGGAAAGAACGTGTTAATAATTGCATCATACACATCCTCTTCAGATTTATACTCTTCGTCGACAACAAATGCAATTACAAATGGAAATAGTGAAAATAAAACGATTTTTCACAAAATAAAGTTCAAGAAACCTGATTTCATTCGCTTGCTTTGGTTGAATAGAGAAAGAATAGATTTTTTGAAGAGAAAATAATTGTTCACATTGAATAATATGAAAATTTTCATCCATAGACTTATTTTATTGATATTTATAGACAACATATTCCTAATCAATAGTATATATTATGATAACTCCGAAATTTTCTTTCATGGACTTATTCGATGTTTGCATATTGTATAACATTTCACAAACAATTATTTCCTTCAATTTTTATATATATATATAGTAACTAGAGTGACAACGAGTGGCGATAAGCACCACCACCATTAGAAATCACGGGATATGTACTGAGTATGAGGTTTTTTCTGATCCGGTAATCCGTTAATTATAGTAAATAGGGTTAATGTCTTAATAATAATATTATTATTATATTTTATCACCGCAGACAATCATCGTATGTTCGTACGTACGTACGTACATATGTAAAAACAGATTTTTTTATTTTTTAACTACATGTTCAACCCTGTTAATCCGAAAAACCCTGTTAAAACAATAAATCCACCCCGTTAAACCAAATTTTTTAAGCGGAATAACGGGTTGACTATATGGTTTGTGGCCTAGTACTAGGCCCTATAAATTATTCTATATTAATTAATATCTTTTGAAAAAAAAAAATTTCAATTAATAATAATGATGACATAGCAAAAATCAGAAAACACGAAAATTTTGCATGCATGTTCTACAGGACCTAGGCTACAAGCTATATATACTTGTCTGAGTATCATTTATTTTGAAAATATAAGGAGCAATTTTTTTCACCTTTTTTAATATTTCAATTTTATATGTAAAATCTGACGATGTCCAATATAAAAAAACAAAAAGTTATGATATATTGTTTTATATTTTTGCAATCTTTGAGATTTATTCTACCAAATAAAAAAAAAGTTGGATACAGTGTAATGCTATTATCTCTGCAATTTTATAATATATTAAATATTTCTACACACGAATTAATTATTAAAAGAGAATTTTCTTTGTGGTAATAGTCTGTAAAAAAAAATAGATTATTATTTAACAATAAGATTCATTTCACATTATTTTCCTATTAGATATCTCTGCTTTTTGTTTGATAATTGTACATCTTCACTACACATGTGGTCGAAATTATTGAATTGAGTCATTACGCAATTGTAAATCAAGAAAATTGACGTTGCGTCACTTACCGTAATTTTATGCAACTGACTCAAGACGCAACTCGTGACGCAAGACGCGAGATATAATTTGCGACTCGAGATGCAATTCGTGAATAATGTATGATACATATAAAAATGATAAAATATACGTTTAAAATTTGCATATGAATTAATTTAAATTTTGGCCACATATAAAACTTTTCTTTGCCTTTTTCTTGCATGTCAACGTATATTTTTTTTTGGTGAGATTTTCACCTTACAAGTTGGAAAAGTATGAACAGAATGAAAAAAAATTTGTATGTGTTATTTATTACAAAAATTTTTTTAATTAAAAGGTATAGATCATAGACAATATGAAACTTGGCATTGACAAAAAATTTTTACAACTTTGATAATTAATTAATTATATGTATATTTGATTTAATGTAAATATATTAATATTCATGTATTTTTATGTATTTTTTTATAGAGATCATTTATAAGAAACTTTAATGCATTCATTTCACAAATTATTATACATATTAGGTATTCTAAATATAAAAGATACTCCAAGGTTGTTTTGACATAGAAGTTTTACTGATTGCAAATACCAATCATTGAAGCATCTGTTAATTGGAAAGAAATTGATGGTTCAAAAGTTTCATTAAATTAAAGATTATTTATTAATGGCTTTAGATTTATTAGTTATCAAACTTTGATTATTGGCTTAGATTTTAGAGAATTAAAAATTAAAACTTAAATCTGAATGATTTATCAACCAATCAATTCCCTAAAGTTATTGATTGGTTCGTTGACAAATAAATTGTTTATGATGATATTGACACACCACACTATCTATACATTGAAAATTAATTGATTGCAGAAATGACATTTTTATATCTCTTTAATGGCGTGGAATCATTCATATGAATGAATAAATAAATACTATATATATACATATGAAATAAAATAAAAATTCAGTTAACCATTTAGCAACTTTTATTTTATTTTATAGAGAAGATTAAAATCAAACAGATTGAATAATATTAATAAACATAACAACTTGTAATAATTATTATTTAATTAGTTGATCAAAGAAGAATACTTATTAATTATTATATCATAAAAATCAAACTAATTTAAAGCATGTAAAAGTTTCCAGTAGAATTCGAATGTTTTTTCTTTTGAGAATAAAATTTCTTCTTGAAGAAATTGAGGTAATGATTTCAACAATATAGAATCTCTTGTAGGATCAATACAAGGAGAATACACATAAATACCTGGATAATCAGGCGTGGTTGAAAGTTTAAAGACTAAATCTATTTTTAAAGAATGCAAAATCGTTTAAAATATGCACACATACATATACATGTATACCATTTAATTAATTGATAATTAAGTGTTGATACTTACCACCTTTTTTACTACTTTGAAAACATGAAAGTGTAAATTCGCCAGCAGATCTTATTTTTACATTTTGGATCAATAAATTGGTAAGATCCTCATATAAAGTATTTTTAAATGATTGTTCAGCATACTTTGAATTAAGTTCATTTGTTGAAGTTGCTTTAGCCAGTCTAGCACTAAGTTGTTTACTATTTTGTAACTCCAAATTAAGCTCAAGTTCAAGCATTTTTACTAATTTAATAAAATAACAAATAACAAATAATAATAATAATAATAATAATAATAAAATGATTTTAGCAATGAAATAGGTGTGTTCATCTTTATATATTTACTTGTAAAATAATTGATCCTAACCTCTTTCACGTAACTTCACCAATTCATCATCCTCTTGAGATACTTTAGTTTCCTTTAATTTGCCTTTATATGTTGATTTTTCTAATTTCCTTTGTTTGGAATTGTTTTCTTTTTTTGTATTAATAAAAACAACAACAACAACGATTATTATATAATTTTATTAAAAGTATATTGAAAATATTTATTTAATATATATACCATTTATTGTTTTTTCTTTGAGTTGACGTGTACTTTCTACTTTTTTACGTGGCTTGACTTCTAATTGAACCAGCGTATCTTCTTTTGCTTCTCTTTTAGTCTGAGATCTCTGTGAGTAGTTTATACATTTAATGATGATAATGGATATTAAAATTAATATTATAAAGTTTGTAGTTTTAAC